TTGATAAAATTGTCATTAGACACCTTAAGATTGACGCATTTCTCGCAAACGTCTAACCGCTAGAAACCACGTGACCAGGAGCTTGCCGTCACGTTTGCCGTAAATCGCTCACGTTTTAAACCTCAAGAGTGCATTCTACAGGTAAGTGATTTACCTCGGCATTTTATTGAACTGTTATTACTTCATTGCACGTATATGACATATATTAAGACAAATATACATCTTATCTTTGATTTGGATGGATAAAAGTTGTTTTTAACGGGAACTTTTTCATATTCTGAGTACTTTTAACCGAACCATGCATAAATTCGATATATAGACAACATGGCGCCCAATCGACTCTAATTTATTTGGGTTAAACAAACATGAAAATTTCGATTGTTAGTTCAATATTTAGTTAGTTCAAGTCGTGTTTTGAATCGTTTTAATTAATAAACGTTTACATTTGAACACTCACGATAAAGCAAGTTCAAAATTATTGATGACCTTTCACAGTCCGTGTTTAAACATATTTGCATATTTCTTACTTTCAATTCATTTTAACAAATTGGTAGTGACATTTGTTTTTTTGACAGTATAGCACAATCTCGACGGAAAAAATTGAACGCGAAGAAAAACGTACGTCAATCTTAATTTCATATTTGCAAGTACGGCAAACGTAAAGCCGCTAACGGCAAACCGCAGTTTGCTGTCAGGCGTAAATAAAATAAACGTCAATCTTAAGGTGTCTATTAAATCAAATTTACAGACGAAGCGATAGCTTTGATACTTCTTAAAGTATATAACTATCAATGTCAGTGGAATTATCACATGTTTAGCAAGGAAACGTTTTCTTTCTATATAAAAACTCATTATGCAGCGTGACGTCGTTTACGTCACTTTTGCATATCAAACAAAGTCGAAAATCTTGACATACAGGAAAGATAACAAAGTTATAGAAGATAATTTATGTTACATTATGATTTTAAATTAACTTTGCAATTCAATCATGAAAAAAATCTTGCATAGGCATGCACTTTAATAAAGTATGGATAGGTAGCCATCTAGCTCACGGCTTTACATGTTTTTTCTATACTTCCATTTGGGCTTGTTCCCGTTCTCGGCTCATACCTCTGTTTAATTTAAAGTTCTCTACAATTTTTGAATATATTGAAAATTGATGAACTCTCTATCAAACTCTTTGAAGAAAAGTTTTTGTTTATAGAAATAAAAAATATACTCCTTTTATAGAGCAAAAATCAAAGAGTTGGAAATTGGTCACAGATATCACGTCACCATCAGGGGCGTAACTAGCCCCTTTTGATTGGGGGTGGGGTGTCTGCTAGAATTGCCCTGCGAAACTGATGATGCCCTGCAGCAAAAATTTTTGTATCAATATTTTTCCTCCCCCTTGAGTTTCGTCCCGGTTCGAGTCTTTTTAATTCTTTTTAATTTCTTAAAATTTTCGACTAGATTTTCAGTAGTTTTGCCCAACCTTTTCTTAGTTTTTGCCCGACGAGAGTACCGTTTCGAAAGATTTAAAGAGGGAAACCCCAAACCTCCCATGTAGTTACGCCCCTGGTCACCATTGTTACTATAATGACAAAGGCGATTCAATATGGCCGACATTTTCGTAAAAACAATTTCTTAAAATACAATAGACTATTTCTGTGCGACGATATTTTTAAAATATAATAAACATGGTTTTTTGAAACAAATATTTTTTTTGGCTAGATGGCGACAGATTTTATTCAGATGCTTTAACCTTCATTAGGGTGTATACTGTCCACATACAACTCGTTACTTAATTACAGACGGATTTAACCAACGGTCTAGAACCTAAACGAGACCAGCTGCAAGGCTCATTAACATTCACATAATAAATTCGTTTCGCTGTTTGAATGAATAAACTAAAAAAAATTGCTTTAATCGACTACTTTGGTTAGTTTTCTACGAATTTCTAAGTGATATAAATTGAGATCACCGTGCCGTGCTCAAATCAACTGATCAATCCTTGCTGCACTTTCATGTCATAAGCGCCCTGCTTTATGTACATTTCTATGCAGGGTAATAATATTAACAGCTTCAATATGTTATGATCCTGTATGCATACATTAGGCGAGATTGGAGTTACTCAAAATCCCTACAATATATAAAGGTTTTGGGGATTATTGCGAAATTTTCCTCGGATTTTGAAGGAAAATTTTACTCAATTTTCGACATTTCAGGTCTGTAACACATACAGAAATTTTATTTACTTTAGAAGTAATATATCAGGACTTTACTGGATATCCAGACCGCGCAATTATAAGTAATAGCATGGCATTCAGGGCGATTAGTGATTAAATGTATACACGAAAGCCAAGAGAGGTTTAGTAAAAGCCCCCGAGGCGCGCAACGCCGAAGGACTTTTATTAAACCTCTCAAGGCTTGAGGGACATTTCATCACTAAAGCCTGGTTCACATATATGCCTGCGACGTACGGCGACGATGCCGGTGGTAGCTTAAAACGCAAATTATGTGAATATTTGTTCGCCGATTGCCTCCAGTGCCACAGTTACATCGGCGGTAGGCCGGGAAAGTTGACTTGAGTTCAACTTTGCCGCTATTTCGGCGGCAAGTAGAGGCATAATGATACAGTCGCAGGCATACCACAGGCATATGTGAACCATAGGCTTAATCGACCGTAATGCCATGCTATCGATCACTTTGTAATATCGTAGATACCGAGACGATAAAACGGTTTCATTCGATTCAATGAGTTGAAATGAAAAGGCGCGTTTGCCTTTTGATATGAATATTATAGGATGTTTGTTAATGAGGTTACGGATGATTTTTCATGTCTGTTAAATACTTAATTGAACATCAATATAAGAGATTATGCGTAAAGATGAGGGACGATCGATATAATTAGTTTCTAATCGTCCTTCATGTTTTAACAATGAGGAAAATTAGCCATTCAAACACTCATTAATAATTCATAAGCTTATTGGCAAATCATGTCAACCATAATATGTCACGTGCAGTGGCTTTAAACCTTGATAGTGTGCCCACCTTCCAAATTAGTATTCTTTATATAAAGAATACTAATAAGGCAGAATCTATTGTTGTCGTGTCCCCATTACTATTCTTTGTATAAAGAATACTAATAAGGCGGTATATCTATTGAATTTGTAGTCGTGTTTGAAGCCGTTTAATAAACTCACAGGTCGTATTTTATTAGGTCTAAAGCCACTCGCGCTGCGCACTCGTGGCTTTAAACCTAATAAAACACACCTGCTCGTTTATTAAACAGTACTTAATCGTCCCTCGCGAAACAAAGGATTTCGAGGTAGGTATGATATTACTGAAATAATTGCAAGAACTGGATATCCGGTACTTCCATATCCTTCCATATACTTCCACATTTGATATGACATCTCATACGAATAAATCACTAGCCTATATACACGAAAAAATGAGGTGAACTCATTAGTTTTGATCCTAAGATTGGATCAGTATACCGTCTTCAAGAATTAAATGTTTTGAGATCATAATTTGATGTCTTTTCTTCTGAGGTCATCTATGCAATGAACTGACCGGCTTCAGGATTATCGCAGTCTACCTCATCTTTGGTAATATTCTTGCTCATTCTTTTCTTCCTAAGAGAATTGCCATGATTTAGATATGATAACAAGTTGATATCCTTTGCCAGAGGAATATTACATGAAGTAAACTAAATTAATTTATAACGCGTGATCTACCTTTGCTTCGGGAAAAACAAAATTGAAATGACCACAAGAATAATGAAAATCACTGCACCAACTCCAATTCCTATCCATTTTCCTAATTCTGATAAGAATAAGATGACATCTATTATATCATGTCCTGAAATATCGCACCTTACCACGCCATAGGACCCTGCACCATATCGTACAATGCCATACCATACCATACCATACCATACAAATATACAATACCAATGCCATACAATGCTATACGACACAACACACACATATATATATATATATGTATATATATATATATATATATATATATATATATATATATATATATATATATATATATATATATATATATATATATATATATATATATATATATATATATATATATAGATATATATATATAGATATATATATATATAGACATCGCGACATGGCATTTTTTATAATTTTTATTTATGTTAATCACCGTGGGTAAGTATTTTTTAGTGAACAGAAAAGGTTGGGATTCAGTCGGATTCGAACCGGCGACCTCTGGGTTACAACCCCATCGGTCTACCAACTGAGCCATCAGCCAGATGGTATATTCGAACTGAACCAGCCACAACCATTCCTGCACACCCACATGGTCACTCATCAAAGCCATGCCGAATTTTGTATACCAGTTCGACAGTAACATGTCTTCTTCAGCCGTATATGTGTTAGTCATCGTGACATGGCATTTTTTATAATGTTTATATATGCGAATGAAACAACGAACGAATCAACCATGCGTGATAGGCACTGGTGCCAAAAAGTAAAAGTTTCAGCAGCTATTTATATTTAAGGACTTAGAATTGAGTAAATTTTCGAACGAATCAACCATGCGTGATAGGCACTGGTGCCAAAAAGTAAAAGTTTCAGCAGCTATTTATATTTAAGGACTTAGAATTGAGTAAATTTTCTGATATTTGGACCATTGATAAAACACAACAAATTTCTCGCCCATGAACTCAAAATGTGTTTTAAACTTTTAAATTTCGCGCGCAAGCTATTTTTAATGCTGCTAAAAAGGAAGCCCCCTACTCTGGAAAATTTTTCTTTATGAAATTTTTGTTTATTCTACATTATATGTACCCAAGCAAACTTCATGAAATGAACGCATTTGTGGAAATGAGAGCTATTTCGAAATTGTCTACTTTTTTTATACACCCCGGTGTATATTATTCAATACCATACGACACCATACCCACCACGTACACTACAGCATACCACAACACACCATACCATACCATACCATAACATACCATACCATACCTGAACCACTACTTATTTCACCAGATATTTCGGTTTCTGTCATTCTTGTCTTTACTGGCTCTAACCACGAGCTCGAGTAATAGGTATCCTGTATAACCAATGTAAGAAATCCTTAACACGCTGTCTCCGCCCAGAGCTTGGCTCACATGATCGTGACAATAATACATATTTAAATATAAATTCTTAATAAACGTGTATAACTAAGAACCGATTATTGGCCTCGATTTCATCCTTGAGCCAGTGAGCTCCTTATATATCTGGAGTAAGATCTTCGTCTATCTGCCCAATTGAAAAATGAAGCCACATACATATATCGGACGCCAAAATCCAGTTCAACTTCGGCTATCTCTGGTTTTAGGTTTGGCATTTGAGATCTAATTCTAGATGTGCACTCATATTCAATGTCTCTAATATTCTAGATATTCTTACCTCTTCAATAAAGGTTCTCTGAAAAGCGGAATAATTTGAATCTGCCTCTAAAGGTCTGTTATAGAAGAACGTTGCTTTTGGTGACATGTAACTTCTGTCTCTCGTCTCATTGGACTTTTCGACCCTTTGTCGCCTTCTCGAGGATTCACCATAGTTCAAGCCATCACCAATAACAAAGGTCTTTAGTTCATTTGCTTGATCAACAGTGAGTTGTGCAGTGATGTATGGTTTTAAAGTTGGAACTGATTCATTGACTGTTGAGATATTGTCTGATGTAAATAAATATGGCGGATCGGGGAGTGCGCTGTTGTGTAGTCTTATTACAATTATCTGAATATATCTAAAGAAAAAAATGAGAAAATTGAGAAACTGTGATACGATGTGCCAAAAAATTCCTCTCATTTTCTTGTATTAGCCTACCACAGTGCATTTGCTGCAATAAAAGTTTCGAATTTTCAGTACTATAGATATGATGACTTTCGTAATGAAGACATGGCGACAACAGAGTCGAAGGGCAGCGAAAGAGATCAGTTGCACGGTTCTCTCAAGTAATTTGAGCGTATCCCATATCCGAAGTGTTTACCACAAACAGCCCTTCAGGTATCCGTTTGAAGTCATGGCTAATAATAATTTGGCTATGGCTAATATTGTTTTGCTCTACTGACTCTCCGGCTATTAATTTATGAGCGAAGTGAGTATCAAAGAATGGAAAGTTGAAGCTTCAATATCGCTGTGAGTTGAGTGGTGGGCAAAGGCTTGCAAGCTTTGTCTATTTGGTATATACGTACTAGCTCAGGCTAGAGGCTGTTATTCCTTAAGGAAAAATTTGAATCTCACTATGGTCGAGTTCAAAACTGTGAAAATTGTGTTCAAAAGTATTCTCAGCGTTGATTTAGTAGGCAGCATTTTAGAGGCTAAAAATTGGGCTAAATTTTAGCTTGTCACGACTGCAAGTACCGGCAAATTACACACATGCAGTCTCTGGCGAATGGCTATCAAATGTATTTTAAGCGCTGGCGAAATTCTCCGTTTGCCTGCTTAAATAAGACGGGTGCACAAACTAAACTACAATTATGTTGCAAAATAGATTTGTCCCAAGTTACCGCAAGGAATTCCATTCGTATCTGCCGGACTATTGTTGTATAATTTTTATCTAATGATATTAATTTGATTAATCAAAATTATCAACTGTTTATACCTTCCAGAATTACTCAAGCTGAATTTAGCCTTTCTCACGAAGGCCAAATTCGCCATTTTTGCGGTACTTTTTTGAAAACGACGTGAAAAATCTAAGCGATATGAAAACATTTTTTCAAATATTTAACTGAAAATTAACTTATAACGATTATACTCACAACTATAGTTATACAAATCCCTTATTCACTGCGTACAATCTCAGATTTGGAAAAGGCAGTACCCCAAAAATGGCGGCGTGAGAAAGGCTAATTAGGTGAACTAATCAGGAAATATTTTAGAAAATGTTATTAACTCACGATTCCTCTCTTACCTAGTACCATTATTTTCTCTTTCTCGCGAAACTCACTGTCCACTGTTTATGTCGCAAATAGCAAATACACAGAGGCCGCGGAAGCATTTCGAAAGTGGAGAGGCATTGGCCAAAAGGGGCACTTTTAATTTGTATTGTATATGACCAAAATGAAACGATTTTATGACTATGTCGTTCACGAGCCGAACGAAAATTTTTGAAAATTGAAATTTCACAGCCGTAGCGTTATGGTGTATACGTAATATATATATAAGCTTCAATTTAAGGTAAAATTCAACCACAAACGCTTCGCAAACGTTTTAAAGTGTTCTTTATAAAACTAAACTGCCTTTAATTAAATGGCTTTATCGATTAACTTGGAGTTTGCAATAAAATGATTTCAAATTCACGCATGCAAATAACTTTGCTTTCTTTTTTATTTAAAAAATTCAATATAATAAAAAAGAGAATCAATATTAAAGATACACTGAAATTATATGCTGTCATGTTTAGTTGTTTCATATACGCAAAGGCCGTCGGGTTTTAAATCCATTATAAAATCAATATTTAAAACAAACTTACCTTCTTTAACGTCGGCTCCCTTCTTTTAGCCGATTCTTTCGCCCTTTCTCTATGAGAAAGCTTTTGAAATTTACAAAATCTTGCAAAAATGGGAGCAAAAATGAAATATATTCGCAAGAAATTTATCAATCATCAAATCAAGAAATGTTTGCTATTTCGCTGTCGTCATGCAGTCGTTATAATGCAAACTTTAAGTTGGACCAATCCGTGTCCGCTATTCATGACTGTCCACCA